TATAGATTGGGTACATAGTACTTTTACTAATTTACACGTTTACCAGTCCGAATGAGTTTTGTTTCTTGAAATGGGAAGCACAGAGAAATTCTTTTACTGAATAATATTTTTTCTCTTTCCTTTGCTATTGCATTTTGCTTACTGATTTTTCAGACTGCCGTCTGAGGGCCCAGAAAGATCCGTTATCTGCAAATATAAGTTGGATGAAATATGTCCTACCTTCTACCTGAAGCTTTGATTGAGACACTAATAAATGTCAGGTGGTGGAAAATGTGTGGTAACTATCCAATTGTCCACAACAAGGTGTTAGGATCGTCAAAAAAAATTTAAACTTATTTTGTGAACTTGTTTTTCACTCTTTAGTATAAACTATTAAATGTATCCTGTAGTTCCTTTCATCTTTTGTAGCAAAAGAATTCTTATACAAATATTCCAAATCTGAAGAATGATGCTGTGTCTCTGGTGGAAAAATCATATTTATTTTGAGCGATCTTAGTGATACATAATAAACTTGTTTGCTGGAGTTGTGGCTTTGTTTCTCTCACCTCAGTTTCACTGTAGAGTGATAGGACCTGGAGATCTAGTCATTTAGACACAGTCCCTCTCCAAACAGCCACCGTGGACACAATCCCCTGCCCTCCTTTGTGGTTCCCATTGGGGACATGTCAAGGGGGAGTGGGCAGGAGGGTTACTCTTTGAAGTTTCACTAGGGGTCCAGAAACTTAAACTCACACCATAGGACACATTCGGCCTGACCCAGAACTCTCAACTCTTTCATCCTCTGTTTTGCCATTCTCATTTGTCTTTGTATGTGGGGGCCAAAAGTAGAGGCTGTAACTGCAGCTGATATGAGTGCCAGGCAGCAGATCAAAGAGTGTGCCAAATCTTTTCTGAATACCAACTGTGGAATGGCCCCGGGCGGCCTTTTGATCTTTGTCTCAGCCCCTGTGGTGCCACATGTAGCACTGCCCATTGGCTGGCACCGGAGGGGAGGGGCTGCCCCTGGGCCCTCCTAAAGCACTGCGTCAGCCTGGGTTCCAGGGGCTCAGCACATGGTACCAGCCCCAGAAGAAGCTTCCTTCTCCCTTCCCTGAGCAATTGCCTTTCTGCAGTTTTCTTCTGTGGGGACAGCTGGGGTAGACCCCGATGGCCAAGGGTTTGGGCTGGCTTCCATTTTTGCTGCTGACCGAGGCAGGTGGTACACGGCTGGAATGAACTAAATTCCTCATTACTGAGTTTAGGTTAGAGCACCAGGGGCTGGGAAAGATGGGAGCCATGTTGACAGTGAACAAGAGACGTTTGTCACTCTACAACAAAACTAAACCCTGAAATGATAGCTCCCTACACATACTGGCATTTCCCCCCAACTGCTTCAGATCTCTGTGGCCCCTCTTGATTGTAAGAATGCAGCTACCTCCTTCTTTAATAAATGTCAGCGTAATTAAGACCAAGCTTCTAAGGCATGAAAGGGAGGGCAGTTACTTAGGAAGATAATAGGGTCCAGGGTCACACTGAATAGTGAGTATATTTTAAGTCTCATATGAAAATGTAATTCAAACTGATTATGAAAAACAAAATACTTTAGCCTAAAACATAGGCAATGTAGGATGTGGGCTTAGAACAAGGAGAGGGTCTGCCAGTCATCCACCATAATGCTTAGCACCAACTTTCCAGTAGTGCAACATTTTTCCAACGTGCAGTTAATAACTTTCTTCCCCACTTTAAAATTCAGTTCTGACCACCCCTCATTCGGAGTTTGTGCCTTGAGGCTTGCCAGCAGGGCTTGCAATACTTACATTAAACTAAATTTAAGAGTAAAGGTGTTCCCGCTGCTCATGTTCTCAGATCAGAGGAGAGCAAAATGAAGGAACTGGCAGCTGAAACTTTAATGCTAGGAAACGTTGACTTAGAATTGGAAAAAAAATTGCAGTTGATCTGTGTGACAAAGAAGAAATTCTTTCCCATGTATATCATTTGCATTTGATTTCATTATATGCCTCTATTTCCTGGCAAAATTCAGCTAACTCCCTTGGTTTTGTATAATACATTGGAAGGCCTGCTTTGAGGGGTGATGAGGTTCTATGCACCTTGATAGGGTATGCTAGCCATACTGGAGCTTCTGGGGGTTGTTCTATCTGCCTGCACATAGCTGAGTCTTCCCAGCACCTGAGAAGCCCCTCAATGAATCTTTAACAGGCTCTGCCACCATGCAGACTTTCTGGCTCCAGTGCCATCTGATGGTGCTCTGGAGAGCAGAATGGGGCATCAGGTTGGATTCACTCATGGCATGTGGGATATGCTGAACAGAGGAAGTGATAGTGGTTATCTTCACTCCCCATAGAGTTACATTAGGAATAGATGGGTAAGGACTTAGAACTGAGTTAAGTCATTATATTATGAGGCTATCCCTTGTAATAACATCTGCTTCTGTTGCTTATTCTGCAGAAAAAGACAATCCTTTTGTTTAGACTGTGCTACATATTATTCAAGGCTCTAACTGCACAGAAAAAGTTGCCTTATGTATGATTCATGCAGTTAATCAAGTCTGCATAAACAGGGTAATAAGAGTCTAGGGTATCAAAAATAAAACACTAATCTGTATTTAAATTATCTCTTTAATTATGAAAAATATTTTAGTCTAATGTGATAATCTTTTTTAGGAACATGAGATCAACCCTATCAATATTGACTTTCACAAAATTCCCTCAATTTTTAGTGTTTCCTCCCCAGTCCTATAGTGCCATGATATTGTCCTACTGCACAGTGTGGATGGCTCTATCTCAGGTCTGATTACATCTCTCGGCTCTATTTCTTCCTACTGACCTCTCCTGCCAGATTCACAGAAGCCTCCATGGCAGCCTTTCTCCATCCCAGCACTCCTTTCCCTACGACTTCAGGAGAAGCCAGGGTAAACTTTTCAAAGTGAAGTTGAGATTATGTCACCCCAAAGGAAGTAGGGCGGATCCTGTTAACTGGAGCATCTTCAGTAGAAAGAGTACCCAAGTCAGTTCTCATGTCAATCAAGAAAGTGTGACAGTTTCTACAGCAACTTCAAGACTCTGCCTCCCTGAATTTAGCTTCACTGCCTTCTTGTATTTACTCTCCACTGTTGCTCAGCGCTTGTGTTGTGTGTTTCCTGTGAAGTCTTTTTGTCACCATGTTGTGATCTACTAATTACACTTATGTAACTGATACCTGCTTCTCTCGATATCCACCCCTGTAACAGACATTCCATGAGGCCAGAGATCTTTGTCTTCTTGCTGGACATTGTTTCTTCAGCACCGTGAACAGTAGCCATCACAAAGTAGGGGCTAAGTGAATAATCTGATGAACGCTCAAGGCCTTAATTGGTTACTACAGAGCACACTCTCTACTGTAGGTCCTCCAGACATCAGGACCCAGCTTGCTTTCTTTGGGGACAAAGTTTCAGCAACTTGATTGACTTTCCTTTATCAGTGCTCACAATTATGGCACAATGCATTTCAGAAAAGGGCTGCCACCGTCTCTCCTAACCCCATCCTCTTCTTGAAGTAGGACTGACAGTCTCCCTCAGGTACATGGATATCTGACCTGTATCTAGACAGGCTTGTCACTATTGGAAGTGATGCTGTGAGGACCATGGGCCTGCCCTAAGAGGGACTCAGCTTCTTCATTTCATTGGGGTACTTGACTTTGGAGCCCTGTGTTGTCCCTAAGAAATCCTGAGGCTGGGGCTGGAGAGACGAGTCAATGGTTAAGAGCATATACTGCTGTTCCTGAGGACCTGAGTTTAGTTCCCAGCACCCACATCAGGTGGCTTACAACTGCCTATAACCCCAACTCCAGGGGATCTCACACCTCTGACCTCTGTGGTCACTTGCATTTATGTGCATATATCCCCCATGCACACACATACACATAATTAAAATAATAAAAAATAAAGAAATCTGAGACTTCTATGCAATGCCATGAGAAAAATGTATGAACACACTATATGTATGTGCTCTTGAAGACAGCTGTTTGGGGTCACAGCTGGTCCAGATAAATAAGTGGAGATGAGCCCTATCCTTGACTGGGTTATTTGAACATACAAAAGAGGTCCCAGTGATTTAGGGTCAAAGAAACCTACCTTTTTCACTCTATCCAAATTCTTGACACATTTAAGGGGTGAGAGGGGAAGTGGTTTTAAACCACTTTTAAAACCAATGAATAGAAGAAAGGATAAGTGATAGGTAGGGATTTAGTTGGGGGGTGGTAGGGGAGGACAGGAGGGAGAAGGGAACTAGGATTGTCATGTAAAACAATCTTGTTTGTAATTTAAATAAAAAATCTGGAAAAAAACAATGCAGGGGGAGCAGAAAGGATATGTGATAGATAGGGTTTTAGTTGAGGGGGAGGGATAGGGGAGACAGGAGGGAGAAGGGAACTAGGATTGTCATGTAAAACAATCTTGTTTGTAATTTAAATAAAAAATCTGGAAAAAAACAATGTATTTTGAAGTTATTTTCTATATTACATGTTTCAAATCTCGGCCTCCTTCCTGAGAACCACTCTTAGCATCCATCACTTTAGAGGAGCCTTTATTTGTGAGTGCTGAGGTTTCTAGAAAATAGCAAAGTCTGACCCATTCTCAACTGCAAGCTGCAACAGGAAGTAAAGCAGGAATCCTGGAACCCACAGCTGCTCACAGGCTTCATTCTTGCATTGCAACCATGCCCCTCAACAGAACTAGTAACAAAGCTGAACCACCAGTGCATTTATGGATTTTCTCCTAAACCACTTTGGGGCAGTGATACAGACAAACGTCCAAAGACAGACAGTAGAAAAGAATTGGAGATGCAGCCTGCAGAATCAACTCTCTCAGTAGCTTTCCTGCCTAACAAAAGCAATAGCTGGACATATACAGGCAGTGTCACCTCAGACAACACACAATACATTGCTAATGATGTCTTGTCTTCATGGATTCTTTGAAGAGTCATCCTTTTAAAATAGCCCTTTCTGCTTACATTTTCCAGTCGTCAATGACCACCTTTCCCCCAGTTCCTGTGACTCGTCCGAGGCTTGCAGTCTTAGCCAGGGAGAAACTGCCATGCTCTGCAAGAGCAGTCCCAAGGTATGCATCCCTGCTCTCTTTCTCATCCTACAGAGCACAATTCCTGCAGTCATGGATGTCAGTAGCACATCTAAAAATTTCAATTGTGTAAGGAGAAGAGATAATGCATTGTTATAGTCAAATGTTCAAATGCACTGTTTTGAAAGGCTTACTGAACCTCACTTAAATACAACCAGTATTACCACGCTAGTGGTCATTCAATCATTTTATTTCCAGTGAGATTATTTTATGCTTTCTACAGAGTTTCTGAGATGTTTTCTTTTTAAAACAGGCACAGAAGGAATAAAGCAGAATATTTAAGATGGAAATGTGGCTTTTAGCTCACAAAGTCCCAAACCCTGACTTCTTTTTTGGAGGGTTATGTCCTAATAGGATGTATGCTTCCTAGTGGGCTAGATTGGCAGGCAAGATTGAGCTCATGAAATGACAATGGAATGTGAAAATGCTTCCCCATACTGCTGCTGCTGAGGAACAGCTACCAACCTCCTAGAGTTGTCACAAAATGCAGAAGAAGAAAATGATGCATTTATCATTTTTATGAATATTAACAGTACTGACATACTTTGAAGCTGTCATTTGTCAGTGTATTGACTTTTAGAAAATACACATATTACTGATGACTGGAAAAATTTGCATATGTACCTTTGGCTTTTTTCTTTTTGTGCATTTGTGTCAATTCCTACAAAGTATAACAATCAAATGACTACAAGATTTCTTTGTTTTCATGTCTCATTTTTAGTACTTCTTAGAAAGATCAATACCCCTGGACCAAAGCAAATTCATGACCAAAGCAAACATTCTTTTAAACAAACATTCTTTTAAACAAACAAACATTCTTTTAAAATTGTAAATCAAATGCTTGGTTCTAAGAAGCTAAGGAATCTCTCAATAGTGCATGCACAAATACATGTGCGTGTTCTTTAATTTTTGAAATATTTACAAAATCAAAAAACTTGTTCTGTCTGTCTTTTTTCAGTGATTAATATTACATTTCATTTTCAAAGTGAGCAATAAACACAACTGATTGTCACTTAGCTAGAATCAGATGGATTTTTTTTAAAAAAGAATCCTATTAAAGAAAAAATTTATTATTACTATTTAGGGAAAGGTTTTTCCAAAAATTCTTTAGTATGAATTTTGTAAGTAAAACATGACTGTGTGGGGATATTTAATACCATACCTTCAGGATTCTGGGAACTTAAAGTGTATTTTTACAAATGTAGAGTGTGTTAATGGACACATTTGTCAACAAAGTCTCTTAAATTTTTTGCATCTTGAATCTCAATAATTTGAGATTTATGTGTGATATAAGAAAAAAAATACAAGCAAGTTCTTAGTCAGTCATGATTGTGCACACTTGCAATGGATCACTGCTGACGTGGAACTGGTTGACAAGGACTGGTTGCCAAGTGAGAGTTGTCTGGAAAACAAAACAGAACAAATAGAACAAGTGAAACAAATAGACCTTTTCAAAGAGCATTCCAGGGAAAACTTAGCTAATGTTTGGAACACACATGTTAACATGTTTGTATCAAACAGTAGTTTTGACTACAGGTCCTACACCAAAGAAATTAGTGAGAGTTGTGCTGCAAAACCCACGAGTGCAAGCTTTGAAAGAAAACGCTTCTACTCAGGCATGTGACCTGTTACACTACGTTGACATGTCTTCTTTTATACATGATAGAGCTAGATCTGCTCTTCCCTATCTTCTCCTCTTCAAGGTTTTGGAAATGATCCAAATAACATAAGGTTGCAGCTATGGTGGGTCATTAACCACTGATGCCACTGTCCACTGAATGAAAATTTTCTCCTAATAACGTTTTGTGTTTTTGGAAGCTTTTCTATTTGGAAGTCAGACGGTACTTCATTATTTCTTTCTATTTCATTTAGGACTCAGCTGATCAAAGAGAAAGATGACATAGATCATTACCTGGAAAAGAATTTCAAAGGACTGTCAAAGGAGGAGGTTGCTGCGTAAGTTTGACCTCTTAACGGTGCTTTAATAAGAAGTTTGTTTCTTTTGTCTGGATTCTTTCTTGGAATTTCAATTTTCCTGTGCAGTAAACTTTTTCCACTGGAACATGGCATTTAAAAATTAAAACTGATATTAAATAGTGATAAGTCACGTCTATTGATCTTACACACATCAAAGTCTTTAAATTTTTGGCTCTCAAAATTCTTACATTTAGCAAGATATTATACTAGCACATTTGCAATATTGAGTTAAGTCTGAGCCATTAATTGCTTATTAATCTCCATTTTAGGGTATGTTGCCTCTGTGGGGAAGAAAAGTGTTTTCAAAGAAAGATGTATATTTTTATTGGTGATTAAAAAAATAAAAAATGACTCTTAGTGGTATGCATTGTTCCCTTTGTCCAAGAATCCTCAAATGTGTCAAGAGTAACAGTTTGTTGTTAAATGTAAAATTACTTCTAAGTTGTCTGGATTTATTCTTTTAATGAACAGTATAAACACTGCTATTTTATCACTAACCCAGAATCTATTCTATGGGACGAATAGCAGTATGAAAAAAATCCATGTGTGTTAGAGGGATAGACAGAGCCCTTAAAGAACAGCTGGAGCGACTTAAGGTTGCTCACATCCAGTTTTAGTCTTTAGGCACAATAACTGGAAACCAGCATCGCTGAAGGGTTACATGCATCACACTGAATTCACTAGATTTCTGCTGAAATGTTTCACACAAATGTTTTTGAAAGATTCTACCAGCATATTGCTTAATGCTAATTCAATCAAGAAATATACCTAATAATGTTTTTTCATTTGTCCCTTAATATATTTTATTATGTTTGATTTGATCTTTGTCAATGTGAGTATTTCATAGACAAACAGAATAGCTCATCTTGTCAATAGCTCTAGCATAGGATGATAAAATATTATAACAATTGGACTGGGAAAATGGCTCAGTTGACAGAGTGCTTGTCTCGCATGCATGCATGAAGTTTTCTGGGTTTGATCCCCAGCCACCATAAACCAGGCATGGCACATACCTGTAAATCCCAGCTCTCAGGAGGCAAAGGCAGGAGGATCAGGAGTTCAAGTTCATCTTTATTACATAGAGAATTGGAAGATTACCTGGGCTACTTTGAGACTCTGCCTAAAAATAACTTTTAAAATTCTAAAATTAATGTAACTTATTTCCACAAAACTGTGGGATTTTTGATTAAATATTATTTGGATTGATAACTCATTAGCTGCCTCAGTCGCCTGTTGAACAAAAGTAAAGGTATGATAGTGTGGTTACCAACTATAAGAAATATACACACACACACACATACATACATACATACATACATACATACATACATACATATTACTTGCAAGCTGACTTAAATATATCTATGTCCAAATGGCTTAGTTGTGCTTCAGTGTTAAGAATTAAGAATTAAGTATATGCTTCGTAAAAGTCATCAAACTAGAAAGGTGCACAAAAGCACTAAGTGCAGACTATTTAATCCAAGAGAATACAAGACAGACCGTGTTTATGACTCTTCTCTAATTATAGTAACAACATTATTTGTTCACTAAGCACATCACCAAATTGATTTCAAATTCATCACTGTGTTACAGAAAACAGTAGCCCTTAGTAATTCCACATTTTTCATACTGCGTTTTCCTAACAGAAGACTGTGAATATGACTAATCATGTCTGCACAGAAGCCCTTTCTGGGAGACACTGCATGCAAACCACTAGTATGGAGAGAGTTTGCACACAACTTACTATTAGTCTCTTGATTGATACTCAATCTAGATTGCACCCTAGACAAACTAATTGAATAACACATAAAGGAGAAAACTGATGAATGACTTCAGCATCTCCCAGAGATGCCCAGCAGGTGCCAAGAAGAATTGTGGACATTCTATTAGCTGAGGAATTGTTGCATGAAATGTTTTATTAGCCATTCAATAACTTGGTCAACAAGCAGATACTGAATACTTACCTCATATCTGAGATTTTTCACATTGGGAGAGACAGTGATACTTTATAAGATACTTGACCCTATCCCAAAGTCTTAATATGTATTTGATAAATAGTAAGACCTATTTGCAATGAACAGATATGGAACAGATGAGTGCTGACACTATGAAGTGCAGCCTGGAGATCAAGGGTAAAGCAGAAAAGACAGAGATGACTGGATGAAACTTGTCAGGGAATATACATATGAGGTTAACACCATAGAATGATTGGACCAATACATCACCAATAACCATCGTGCAGGGTTTAGTGTACAGTGACTCAAAAATCTATTTTCAAGCAGGTAGAACACCATGAAAGATATACCTCAAGTCCTCCCCTCCACTGCCTTATTCTTCATTAGGATGCTAAAATATCTGTATATACTCACTAAGACACGTGATACACAAGAGCTTTAGTATCTCCTAATATACTGTGGTTTTGGTTTTGTCTCCAAATGATCTCTTATCACATGAGATATATAGCAGCCTACATGCATCTAAGTAAATACACTGTGGTTCTCCTGGTTGTGGTGGGTGAGGAGATCCCACTCGTGTTCTAAGTTCTTCTTGATCCTTCCATTTCACTCCCTCCTACCTCCCTCCTTCAGCATACACCATCAAGTTCTCCCTCTCCACTGAATCATAAGCACAAGTGTTCAAACCTCCATTAATATTTCTGGTCTTCTTATACCCTGCAAGTGCTTTCTCACACCCCCGCCCTACCTATTGCAGAAAGCAAAAGCATAATGCATGTGTAGAGACTGTGCTTGTCAACATCTCTCCTTCTCCTCTAGCATGCTTCCTCTCTGCCATATCTGATAGTTTTCCTTCCATCCTCATCTTGAGTGCCACCTTCCCTGCATTTGGCAGAGTGCACCACTCTTGTTTCGTTCTTGTGGTTTCTGGTAAGTCTTGTTAAATGATTTTCCTCCAACCACATTACCTCAGCCTTCTCTAATGACTGCATCTCTGTTTTCAAATTCTCAGTGGAAAGAAAGCTGAGGGCTCTATCCTAGGCCCACATCTCCAGCGATCATCTCAACTGGATCCAATTCTAGCTGCAAACGTTAGCAGCAATATCATAGCTGCCACACTGGCAAATCCAGCACTGAGCTCTCCAGGCTCCAAAGTTTTACATTCACCTGCCTCCTTGATGTATCCTATTGATGTAGACATACTGAAGAAACAAAATATCTATCACAAGGTTATACTGCTCCTTGAAACTAGAGTCTTGGTTCTCTCCCACATTCCACTCCAGCTCTCCCTAAGGCAGTCTGTACCTTTGCTATGTCCCATGTTCCCAATTAATATCCTCCATCAGATGCAAGATAAAAAATATATTCTGGGCTCCAGCGCTTCTCTCCATTACCTCAATACTCCTGTCTTGCCAAGGTCTCCAATACAATCTTCTAGTTGCTTTTCCTACTCTGGAGTACTCTTGGGTATTCTGTCTCCACCAAATCTGTGAAACTTAAAGAAACATTGATCAAGACACTCCTTTTTCTAAAACTTTCTAAAGAGCATCCCATTGCTCCTGAGTTGCATTTAAATTAGGCAGGCCTGAATCTGTGTGACTGTGGCTTTGCTGGCCTCTCTGACTATATGGTCTTGCTTTGGCCCCATCTGGCCTGCTAGTGTGGCACAATTGCTGATATGCCTTCTTGTCTTGTGGTCTGTCACTTTGAATGTGCCCATCCTTAGGAGCTCTTTCCCATTTCCTAATACAGTTTAAATAAGTCCTCGAGCAAAACCATTGAACAGTTGTTTCTAGAGAAACCCAGTAGTATGTCAAATGCCACTTGTTTTGCTTTGGAATGGGTGGAATAGTTCAAAAGCAAGGACTTCAGGCTTTATCAAATCTATTTGTACAGAAGGAATTTCAGTATGCTTTTTTAACCTTTATTAAATTTGTTCTTTGATAATAGCATACATGTATAATGTGTATTCTAATTATTATAGCCCCTCTCTACTCTCTCTTTCCACCATTTTCACCCTTTCCCTCCTTCCTAAAAGTCCCCTTCTTATTCTCATGACTTTTTTTTTTTTAGAGTTATTGAGTTTACTCAGGATCATGTGTGACCTTGGCTCTGGAACTATAGCTGGAGCCTGGAGGCTTCTCAGTGGGCACACAACTGAAGACAATGACATTCCTTCCCCCAGAATTCACCAATGGCCAGTTCATGGGGAAGAGTCCTTTAAACTCTTCCATGAGTGACTATCGAGGGCCCAGTTTTGTGTTAGCTGCTATGAGGTTTTGACTTCATTGACTAACTTTGCCATGCTCAGAAGACACAATGTCATGTGTTCTGTATTCTGGCTCTTGTATTCATTCTGGTCCATCTTCTGCCATGTTCCCCGAGCCTTAGGTGGAGTATTGTGTCTTCTTTAGTGTTCATCATTCAACTGTTACTTGTCCACAGCACCTTGGGCAGCCCCATGCCTCTGCATCCACCACTGTCTATTGCAAAGAGAAGCTTTTCTGACTGAAGTAGCATTTTTCAATGGCATTCTTAGCCATGGGTTTTTAATTAGGTTTTTAATTAATTTAGCAGGAGTAAATTCCCTCTTGTGGAGCAGACCCCATCACACTCATTTTTCTTGATGGGTTGATGTAAATGACAGGGTTCCCAGCTGGCTAAGACCATTGATGCCACTCTCCCCTGGCAGCCTGTATAGCACCTTCCAGCATTATGAAGGCAGGAAGTAAGCTTCCAGATCAGTTCCTGCTGGGTTTCTTTATACCTTGCAAGCAAGGTGTATTGTGTTTTCAGTGTCAGGATCCTAGTTCTTAAGATAGGGCCTTTCACAGTCCAACTGGCCTTGAGCTCACTCTGACTTTGAACTCTTGAGTGGTCTGCCTCTGTTTCTCAAGGCATATATCACCATTCCCAGCTTTTTTTGTAATTTATGTATATGTGTGTGTGAGCGTGTACAGATGAGCATGTGTATGCAGATATCTATAGAGACCAAAAGAGGACACTGTGGCTTTGGACCCTCGA